CTTCCTCTCTCTTTCTCAAATTAATAAAGAAAAACATTTTTTAATAATTTATTGCTAAAAAATCCTAACCATCATCTGAGCCTCTTGGTAAAATGGTGCCGACAGACTTGTTCAACACAGGGTGGCCATAAATCTGCAGTTTGTAAAGAAAACGTGGTATCTGTGATATACGTGGGATCAAATTGCATAGAATTACACACACACACACACACACACACACAATGGAGTGAAGAAGAAAGGGATGAAGACTGAATAAGTTCTGTAGTCGAATTAACAGGATTGTACCAATGTCAATATTCTGGTTTTGACATTATACTATAGTCATATAAAATGTCACCCATTGGGAAAACTATGTGAACAGTTCCAAGAACTCTGTATTTTTGCAGTTTCTTGTGAGCCCATAATCATTTCACAAATCTATTTTTTCTTCCAGGCTTCATGTATCAATTGGTTGTGACATTGTACGGTAAGTTTTGTGACTGAGCCCAAAGGCAAGAGGATAAAGCAAGGAGGGGCTCCTCCAGTCCGCTCTACATCTCTGTCATTCCGAGAATCAGAACACAAAAGTGTTTGGTGCTCTGCCAGCTACTAATGAAGACTGTCTCATTAAAACACAAGTGCTTTGAAACCGGGCTATGGGGTCACATCCTATCATTTATTTCCTCAGAAACCTTCCTGGTTCTCTTTCACCTCCACAATTAAGTCACACTCTTCATCCTGGCATTGAAGACCTCCTACAATATGGCCCCAACTTAACTCTTCAGCTCTGTCTTCCTCTATTCTTATGTGAGAACCCATTGTTTCAAACTGCTCTCATCACCACAGCCTGAGTTGTCTGTAAACTCCAAAGTTGGCTTTTCACAGCACTTAGCCTAAAGACTCAAACCCTTGACCTGGCTGTCAAGACTTGTGGAGTCTGGCACCTGCCTCCTTCTCTAGGTCATCTTGTACCATGCTTCACTCTCTGTGTCCTGGAATCAAACTGAGACCTCTCATTCCATGTCATGACTTTGTCCACAACCTCATCCTTGCCATGGTCCTCCCCACCATAGAACCTTGAGCATGTTGATTTCTTTGCTTGGACCTCTTCCCTCCCAGTTAATCTTCTACTCCTCTTTTAGATCTCAGCTCCATCATCAGTTCTTTAGGAAAATCTCCTAAAGCACTGTATTAAACATAGATGTATTCAGCCCAGACTAGGTGGCTCAATGGATTGAGCATTGTTCTAAGGACTGAGAGGTCCTGATTTGATTCCTGGTCAGGGCACATGCCCAGGTTGCAGCCTCCATCTCTAGTGGGGAGCGTGCAGGAGGTGCCAATCGATGTTTCTAAAAAATCAATTAAAACATGTTTTTAAAAAACATAGAAGTATTCAGTAACTTTTTAAAGTGACTGATGAATCAAACTGGAATATGTTCTCCAAACATATTCCTCAGGTTTCCTGTCCCTGGGCTCCTGTCATGTTATTCTTTCCAGGTACAAAGCTGTACCCACATTTTATCCAATCTTAATGACTCATCTGAATAGGCACTTTCTTGCCTTGGCAAATAAACATCATCTCTGCCACCTTTAAAAACGGCAGCACTTATGTCTGTTCTCTTATTATATCTAGTGTTACTATTAATAGATTGTGCCTGTTATCCCCTTACAAGTTCCTCAGCTCCTGGAGAGCAAAGTTGATTTATTTCTCTTTACACCATCTGCTATAACTAACCCATTTTTCAGATGCCTAATTAATATTTTCCTTATTGATTGATTAATATGAATAAAAACTAAAGCCAGAGCACACATTATATGCTCAATTAATATTTATAGAAATAAGGAAAAATCATTGTAGGTCCTTCTTAGTTCTACCAATTTGGATTTGCAATGAGCAAATAGAATTAAATTACTAAACAGCATTATAGTATGGTTCCCAGAGCAAATGTCTTCTATTCTGACCAATATTATTTTTCAACAGGTTTATTTGATGTTAGTGGCAAAATGGTTCCAGGACTATTAGATTCCACTTGTTTTTCCGCTTCCCCCATCCCTTGCTCAGTACATTGGGCCTGCAGGAAGAGCATGTGGCCCCATCTAACTTGTGTTTAGATAACTTCCTATTCAATCCATATAATACGAACTTATTCAGGTGGTTTGTTTGCTTGTTTGTTTCTCCATTTTTTTTTTTTAATTCCTAAACAAATTATTAGGAGAGCAGAAATGCTGTTGAGGTAGCAAATTTAAGTAAAATCTAATATGTGAACAATGTTTTGTTTCATCCCGGAACTTTGGAATGAGTACAAATTCATAATATTGTTATTAAAAAAGCAATAGGGGTGAAACAAAAATAGTCAAACTTAGTACTCATGATGTAACGAAGACTATAGGTGGTGCTTGGTGGAAATTATGAAAACCTAAGTTAAACTTGCAGTTGTGTATGTGCATGTATGTACGTGTATGTGTGTGTGTGTGTTTGCACAGATATATGAGTAAAAGATAAAGAGAGAGGAAGGACACAGTGACTATTTTCATGCATAACCCATTTGAGGAATTTTAATCTTGTCCCTTTAGGAAAAATTTCTGTCCCTTCAGGTTGCAAAATCTTTACACTAAAGAAAGCTAAAAAAGAGAACAAAATGGCAGCAGAATGAATGGAAGCTACACAGACCATCTCCCAGGATCAACTGAAATTAAAACTAAAATAAAAACAAATCACCAGGAAAAATTAACAGAAAAGAAGTTGGAGAGGACTCATATAACCAGGGACAGGAAAAAAAGGACACTGAATCATGCCTGGTAGGATCTGCGGAAGTGCGAGAGGGCAGGCTAGGAGCCCATGAACAGCAGCTATTTTAGCTATGAGCAGCTCCCTTGGGTTTAAAATGCCAAGCCAGCTCCACAGTGCAGAGGACTGGAACAGAGCACTAAATTAGCTACAGCCACTCACCTTGGGCTCTGGCAGAGAGAGGGCCGACTGGACTGGAACTATATGGACACTTGGGAGCTTGGAGAGCTACGGGGGCATTGGGAGTTTTGTGTTGAATGACTCCCTCACAGAACTGTATCCATTTTATTCAAAGAGCCCCTTCCCAGAGCCCCTAGGAGAAGCAACAGCCCCCCCCCCCTCAAAAATTTAACTCCAACCAGCTGGGCCAAAGAAATGCAAATTGAGGCTCATTATCAGCCAGTATCTGCCTCACCCTCTGAAAATCCACTTACTCTGAACACCTCAGAAATTTTTTCATTCACCTGAGGACTACAACCCAAGGCTCATCAAATAACTGAGACTAATAGCCTCCAGGCAAAGAGCTAGAGGATAACTGAACCTTTTGGGCTTGTAAATCTACCCAGGGAAGTAAGACTTCACAGTGGTGTTTAATGTGGGTCCTCCCACACTCATCCAAACCTAGCAGACGGAGCTACAAACAGCAGAACACCAACACCCACAGGGAAAAGTTGGCAGGCTCTAAAATCCACTGAGATGGCCAAAATGGTTAAACAAAGAAACAAATCCCCCCCAAAAAGAACAAGAGAACTCTACTGGAAATCAGATAAATGAAATGCAGTTAAGCAAGGTATCAGAGGTAGAGTTCAGACTGATGATAATGAGGAAGCTCAACAGCATGAATAAAAAGCTCAGCACCATGAGTAAAGATATAGAACACTGAAAACCAACCAATTGGAAATGAAGAATGACCTAGCAGAAATAAAGAACACATTAGAAGGAATAACCAGCAGAATAGACAAAGCTGAGGGCCAGATCAATGAATTAGAAGACAGGGTAGAAAAAAATCAACCAATCAGAAAACCAAAAGGAAAAAAACAATTGAAAAACAAGAGGACAGCTTAAGAGAACTGTGGGACAACTGGAAATGTAACCACATTTGCATCATAGAAGTTCCAGAAGAAGAAGAAAATGAGCAAGGGTTAGAGAATATATTTGAAGAAATAGTGTGGAAAACTTCCCTGACTTGGTGAAGGAAAAGGCATTCAAATTCAAGAAGCACAGAGAGCCCCAAGTAAGAAGAACCCAAACAGGTTCACACCAAGACACATAATAATTAAAATGCCAGAAATTAAAGACAAAGAGAGAATCCTAAAGGCAGCAAGAGAAAAGCAACAGGTTATCTACAAAGAAACTGTCATAAGGCTCTCAGCTGACTTCTCAACAGAAACACTACAGGCCAGAAGGGAATGGCATGTAGCAATCAAGTTAATGAAAAACAAAGATCTGAATCCAAGACTACTCTATCCATGGAAGGACCTGGAGAGCATTATGCTAAGCGAAATAAGCCAGTCCGAGAAAGACACATACCACATGATCTCACTTATTTGTGAAATATAATGAACAAAATAAGCTGATGAACAAAATAGACCCAGAGACATAGAAAGGAGTACGGTTCAAACTGACAGACCTCAGAGGAAGGGTGTGTGGAGGGGATGGATGAGATAAACCAAAGAACTTAAATGCATGTATGTATAACCAATGGACACAGACAACAATGCTGGCTGGGGAGGACTGAGGAGCAAAATGGGAAGGAGGGTGTCTAGGGGGAAAAAAGGAGAAACATCTGTAACAAAAATAAATTAAAAATTTAAAAAAATAGCTAAAAAAGAAAAAAAAGATTATTTGGTATTTTGAGTACTTAATCAGAGTCCATGAACATATTCTGAAATGTTGTAAATTGTGATTACAATAATTTATTTTTATGCTAATGAATACTTCTCCTACTGACATTAAATTAGTTGGCAGTATTCATAGCTACAAATTATTTTCCTACATTGTCAATGATTATCGCGGTGTATTGAGAATGAAAAGGAAAAAAGATGTCCAGTGATACTTGAATTAGGAGAAATTAATAAGACATAGAAATACAGTTCAAGTTAACTTTCATACAACTGATTTCCCTCCTGTTGCAAAACGTATAGAGTAATATTCTGGTTGCTAAGAGACTAAACTGACAGCAACCACCATCTGGAAATGGAAGAGGCTGAGGAGGAGGAAGAGCCTTCAGTACCTGGATACTGGTCAGAGTCGTGTACTGATAGGCCTTGACCACCAGGTAGTTTGCTTCGAGGTCTATGAGTCCCAGGATCATGTACTTCCACCACCTTCGTCGTAAAATTGCCAGAAGGTTTTCTTCTCCTGTGTTACAAAGTTGAGAAGAAAAGGGTTAGGCTGGAAACATATAATAAACTGTATACTTAGAAGGATTCTAAAATATTGTGGTATTGTAGCTTAACCATGCCTTCTCAAATGTTTAATTAAACGAATAAATCAATGTGTCAAAGGCTGACTTGGTTTTACTTAGCTAATAGTCTTCACTGTAGAGTCAGCCCTTCAAACTGGTTTCTATGTCAGAATAAAACTGGGCAGGTTTTTAGTTCACCATGAATAAATAACAATTTCTCAGGAACATTTAAAGAAAAAAAATTACATCATCTTAAAAAGGTGGGCCAGAAAGGCTGCATAAACACACAGTCCCCATCATCCGAAACTTCAGGACTGGAGTGAAATATGTAGAAATGGAAAGAGGGCAGCCCCATGGACAACAGGTTGGCAGCAGGTCTATAGTGAGCCTCCAAGCTGCCATCCTGAGTACGGTTCGGCTTTGGACACGACACAGTTTGAACATGATACCCTGGTGTGTGTGACGGGGGAGGCAGGACGTTGGCGGCACTCTCGGATGGAAGAGTGCCATCAGACCACGGTCCTAACACTGCCAGCAACTGGGATCTTCTCCACCTTGCCTCTTAAACTAATAGCATCAGAACTGACTCTGAATCCTTTATTTCTTCATCCTTATTTTCACATGTTTCTGGCCTGAAATAAACCTTATTTCACAAGGGTCAGTCATGATTATTAATAATAACAGCTCTCTGGAGCCAACCTTTGATGTGGTATATGCAGACACACTAAGTGAATGGTGACTCTATTCACCATGCATTACTGCACAGCAAATTATCTCAAACCATAATTGTTTAAAACAAAAATTTTTATCATCTCATAGTTTTTGTGGGTCAAGAATCTGGACACAGCTTAACTGAGTGCCTCTGGTTCAAGGTTTCTCATTAAGTTTCAGCCAAATTGTCAGTCATGAATGCAGTCTCATCTGAAGGATTGGTTAGGGATGGGGGAGTGGGAGGGGAGGAAGAGAGAGAGAGAGAGAGAGAGAGAGAGAGAGATCGGTTGCTTCCCACATATGCTCCAGCTGGGGCTGGGGATTGAACATGGGGAAAGGGATTGAACATGCAACCCAGATAGGTGCTCTTGACTGCAACTGAACCTGTGACCCTTTGGTGCGTGGGCCGATGCTCTAACCACTGAGCACACTGGCCAGGGCAGTAAGTTCCATATTTGGAGGCAGTTTTTTTTTTTTTGTTTTTGTTTTTGGAGCAACCTCTAGACTTTTTTCCCATAGTGGTTACACCAGTCTTCATTCTCACCAACAATGCACAATCAACATCCTTGCCAACACTTGTTTATTGACTTATTAAATGATAGCCTTTCTGACAGGTGTGAGGTGGTATCTCATTGTAGTTTTAATTTGCATTTTTCTGATGATTTAGTAATGTTGAGCATCTTTGCATGTATCTGTTGAACGCTTCTAGAGTATTTTATTCTTTAGAAGAGTCAATAAGTCTAGCCCACACTCAAGGGAGATAATTTCATAAGGGTGTGACTACTAGGAGGCAGGCATCACTGAAGGCCATCTTACAGGCTGGCTATCTAGTGCTACACACCTTTAGTATACTATAGCTGTGCTGTAGCTGGTCCTCAAGAACCTCAACAGACTCGACATCCCTACCTGTCTCTGGGCCACTCTCAGAACTTTGAACTCCTGTTTTCTACCTTTTGTCTTATTCCAATGACCATCGTATAGGTGGTCTTTTCAACCACATGGAGATTTGTGAAAATGAAGCTTTCCAGCTACATAGAGAATGTTAGAATGGTTTGTGACTAGTTGGCAACTAGGAGGGAGAGGTCTCTTGACCTTTGGTAGCGAACCCAGGTTTCCAGCCTCATTTTGGATGACACACTGCTCATATCTTTTGCTCCAAACACACTGAAGACTTTTCTGTCTCAGTGAATTGCTAACTCCTGTTCATCCTTCAAAATTTAGCTATTCTCTGATATTTTGCCTGATACCACTCCCCAGCTAGGCAACTTGTGTACAGCTTTGTATAGTTCTGTCACATGATTGTGACTATTTAGAAATTGTCTCTTCACTAAACTGGAAGTTTTTGAATGGTAAGACATCAAAGCATACTGACATTTAGAAAGGGTTGGTTAAGTGTTTTGAAATAAATGAATAATTGACTTGAAAAAATGTGAAGTACTATCTATCTGAATATGTCAAGAGCCAGTTCTAGAATAAGTCACTTATTATTGTTTTGCACTTAGGTGCATAGTAGGTGGGTATGATCCCCAAAGTAATTTTTGTGTTTTACAGCCAGCTAATTTTGGCAATGCCCTTGCACTGCATTTCTGCCTTTTTCAGCATTCTGCCTACACATTTGATAAATCAACACACCTCCCAGGATTTATCTTGAAAATTAGTGATTTTCAACTTGACTGAATATTCACATCTTCTTGAGAGACTTTTTAAATTCCTAATACCTGGGACCAGCCTTCAGAAATTCTAATTTAATTGGTTTTGGATGGTTCCTGAGCATTGGGCTGAAGATCAAATCTAAGATTTTCAGATGGGTGACAATCCATGGCCATCCTCAGGATGACTTGAGCTAAAAATACCAAAGTTGGACAATCGCAGGGTAGTAAGGGCTCTTCATACCAAAATAACACCCAAACATTTGGACCAAAGTGTGCTTTCTCTTATCTTGTCTCTGGGCTTTTCCATGTGCTGATTCCTCTGCTTGGACTACTCTTCCTCTAGTCTCCAAATGAAGAATCAACGTAGACACTACCACCAGGAAGCCTTCCTTGATCTCTCACCTTGATCATTCTAGATCTGTAATGTGCCCTGTAATGTGCTTTTCCCTGTAATGTGCTCCTGTAACACCCTTTACAAATCCCACAAATAGCATTGATTTCACTGCTTTATAATAACCAGTTTTTTTTACTCTAATCTAATTGGATTGTCAGTAATTTAAACAGAGTGACATTGGCTTGGTCACCCCTTTATCTCTGAGACCCAACAGTACATAGTGAGTAGCCAATAAATAATATAGATTATATGAATACATTTCATGTTTAATCATCTTAGCAATGCTAAATAGCATTGAAATCAAGGTATTTAAAATATGTCTACCATAAACATTCATGTTACAGAAAATAAAAATTGTTTTCTAGTTAGGATGCAGACAACATATGACCAAATTAATTTGGTGACCATTTCACACTACATATAGGGCATTAAAAGGTCAATGGCATATTTAACCACAAAGCTGCAATGCTATGTCACAGGTCATTGTCCCAGTTAATTTACAAAATCAACAGAGAATTGTCAAACTCAGAGCACACCAGCCACATCTCAATATGCAACACTAAAAATCTGGGTCATGGTCTGTTTGTTCCACCAATCAATAACATATTCAAAGTATAATTCATTACATAGATTCACAGGAATGATTAGTTGCTTTGCTGTTTTGCTGAAGAAGTTTTCAAAGCAAAACACCCTAAATAAATGTTACCATACTATTTAATTTGAAGCACCTAAAAAAATATGTAACATGCTCACTTAGCAGATTTATCCTGAACGGTGAGAGGTAGCTTTTTTTATTTTTGGTTGAGCAAAAAATGCAGCTTTTAAAAAGACTGCTCAGGGATTTATCTACATGACTCTCATTAACACTGATGTACAACAGGCCATTAAAATTCTTTCTAGAATAATGAAAATGCATTCTTTAGAGCCCTTGTGCCAAAACCATCCCTAAGCCTCAAGAAATAGGGCCATCCATAAGAAATACCAGCACAAGTGGTGGTACATTAATGTTTTAAAATTCTTTTTAAAAATTTACTAGAAGTAGTAATAAATCCATGATGAAAACTTTAGAATTATGGTTTGGCATTTAAATGGAGTCTGTTAATTATTACCTTTATTATTAATATGTTCAAATATAAATAAAAAGATTAGAGAAGCATGTAATAAAGTAACCTCCATCCTGGTTTAATAAATATTAACATTTTTCCATGTTTGTTTCATATTTTATATATATGTGTGTTTTTTGACACAGAAAATGATGCAGATGAAATTGAAGCCCCTCCTACTTTGTCCTACTCCTGCCAGATTCCAATCCTTTCCTTTTGCCTCAAATACCATCTTGATATTTAGCATCCTTTATGTTTATGTGTTTTTTAACCTTCACCCAAGGCTATGTTTTTTGTTTTTATTGATTTGAGAGAGGAGGAGGAGGAGGAGGAGGAGGAGGAGAGAGAGAGAGAGAGAGAGAGAAATATTGATGTGAGAGAAACATCTATCTGTTGTCTCTTGTATACACCTGGGAATTGAACCTGCAACCTGGGTATGTGCCCTGAGCAAGAATTGAACTCACAACCTTTCAGTATCCAGGACGATGCTCCAATCAACTGAGCACCTGGCCAGGACCATGTTTATGTTTTTGTTACACATTTCTACATACGCATATCCAAAATAGTATTTAGCTTTCTTTGCCACTTTTTAAAACTTTAAATGAAAGTTCATTGTATATACTGTGCATATTATTTTTGGGGGGTTTTTTATGCTTAACACTGTTTTAGAAATGTATCTATTGTTTCATGTAGAGCAGGTCATTTATTTTAAATGATGTATATTTTCACACTTTATGAATATGTCACAATTTATCCAGTCTCCTACTGATAGCATCTAAGTTTTTATTAACTTTTCTCTATTAGGAACAGTCTAGCAAATAATATCCTTGTACACATGTATCCCTATAATTGATACAGAGTTTTATTGTGTTTTTGTTCTCTTTGTAAAGGATTATGGAGTATATAAGTAGTCAGAAATGTGTAAAACATAATTAAAATAAAAAATTTTCTATTTTGAAGTAACAGTATTCTGACACAATAAGTACTTCAATAATTGAGAACAGAGGGAGAAATTACTGACACTCTTGCTCATGTGATTTATATATAATTTTACTAAGCATCACCAGGATAATCAATAAAATTTGTTTTTAAAT